TCCATCCATCCATCCATCCATCCATCCATCCATCCATCCCTCACCCTGTAGATCTTGTTCCGGACCCTGCAGTACATCACTTCCTCCACCTTCACATACGACAGACACTCCTCACAGCATTGACTGCCCTGACAGCTACCTGGACGTGAGCACCGCTTCTTACACACCACCGTTGAATCCTAAAACAAAAACAGAACAAGTAAATCATAAATTAGGTTTAATTGTACACATAATATTCACATTCAAAGTTATTTCTGCCTAATAATGAATAATGGGGGGAAAAAACTGTGTTAACGTCTAAAGGTTTTATGTCCAGGAAATTACCTTGCAGGTGCAAGTGCTACAGTTGTTGAGTTTGAAGGAAGTGCCGTTCTCATAAACATCGCTGTGGAAGAGACAACTTCCTAAAGAGAGATCAAACACCTTCCTCTGACCTGATGGAGAACCAACCACAGACAAGAAACAGCATGAACAAATATCCAGTAAACGCAGCTGCTTCAAAAGTTGTTCAAATATTCAACATTTCCAACAAGGTTTTACAAGCCTACTCTTATTTTGAAGAATGACTATGTCTCATTTCCTGGTTGTGCTTCTGATCTTAAACAATATGCTATATTTATTAGTATATCCATGCTCAGTTGTTGTCATTGTTGAGGTTTTGTACGTTGCATCACTGAAATTATCAGAGAGATGCTTTTTGAGAAACAGTAATGTAGTGCAGGCTGTGATGGAAATATATTATTCATTGCTCTGCATCCTGCAATAAATAATGTATTTCCATCACAGAGGCTACAAAACATAAATGTGAAACAGGAAACTATCAAAGTTAGACACTGAAAATATATTTCTGTTGTCCAACACAAGTGTAGGTTCAGTTTTCTGTCACTGGTCTTTACCGACACATCTGGGGCAGCACTGTCCAGGAGGGGTGTGGGTGAGGTGGGCGGGGCATGACAGCACAGGACACACCTCCTTCATGCAGAGCGTTCGACCACCCTGGAACATCCAAAAATGATTACCAATATCTGTTAGCGTATGCAAAGAAATAAAAATTAACTTTATTACATACCGGTAGTCGTGTTACCTCTTTCGTATACCCAAGTTAACTTCTAAACTACTGGTAGTTACAATGTAAAGTTAGTTTAGGGGTTTTTCACCAAACTTTTTCAGTTTTTGTGCATAATCTAACATAAAATACAATGAACTTGCAAAATACAAGATAATGTCTCACCAATAATTTATTTTATGTGGACTTTACAGCAAGTGATCAAGAACTTTCAAAACAATGTTTTTTTTTATGCTTCCAGTCTTGTGCAACTAATTCTATCACTGAATAATTACTTCAGTTCTTATTTTATTTTCTTATGTGTACAGACAGATCTAGGGTGTACATCAACCTTTTCTACAAAAAAAAAAAAAAATTAATTATTGAGATGTTGTTTGTGCATCAAATTTTGTCACATAAATGTAAGTATGCAGAAAACAGTAGAGATCTCAACACAAATCCCTGTGGAACTCCAAGCAAAAAAGGTTCAGCACTAAACCTTTCTGCTTCCTAAAAACAACTGTATCTAATCTGTAACTGTTTTTATTATACAATTTAAATTTAGACAAGAACATTTTGTGCAATTTATTTTATTTTATTTTTTAATCGATACAGTGTTTGAGTCATCTGAAATTGGCGGTCCTTCATGAAGAATCCTGAAAAGCTTCAGATCTTCCAAAGATACTCCAATACTTAAGTTTTACTTTGTATGATATATGTCATGGTTAAATGTTACATTATTTAATTGAGCTACCGGTAATATTTCTTACCTAGTTTAACCCAACTAGTTTGATTTATTTAAATATTTAACTCCTCTGGTAATAAACAACTGGTTAGATGTTGCTGTAATTCATTTACAATCCCTTACTTTAGTAATAACTGAAAACAATCCAAACATTTTATTTACTTCTGTGGCATAACAAAATCAACAAAGTAAACTATGATCATTTGTATATAAGTTTGCTAAAAGCCTATAGGGCGTCCTAAATAGGTGTCAAGACATAAATGCTTCAGCGTGTTTATGGACATACTTGTTGCGCTTGTTTGTCTAAGGGGTGGAGGTGGTGGTGGGGGTGGACATTGGAGCAAAATACTGAAGAGGATGTTGTTCCAACCAACAATTTGTGACTCTCTGGAGACTCCAACGCTAACGAGTTCTTGCTCAGAGGTGAGAATGGCTGTGGCTTGTGTACTCACGGTGCACGTGCACTTGATGCAGGGCTGGGCTTCTGGACTGAACTCCTCCTTTTCTTTATACAGATGACCCTCAAATATACAACCTGCAGGAAATAAAAACAACATTTAATTCCAATTTAGCTCCTTGTTAAATTGTCACTCTCCTAATGCGCTTCAAATCTGCTCGTGAAAACATTTTGTTGAACAGACTCCGATAAATGTCGAAGACTTTGTACCAAACACTACGAGCGTTGCTAAATAACAGTTTTATCACTGATCAAGAGCAATATAACTGGTTAATGACATTTTTATATGTTCTGCAAAAATACTAGTAATTTTAGTTGTAACAAAAAAAAAAGTCCTTCTAATTTTTGTTTAGTGACGTTCTCAATATTAAAACATCTTGTCATATTTGGTGACTTTTCACATCATAAAATGCAAACATTAAAGTTCAAAGAGTCACGTTAAAATCTAATACTGGGTTTGAATAACTAACAGACATAAATAATAATTACTCCCTTTGAGAAACGAAAACCATTACAAACATTTCAAGCTTCTTATTATACTGACGTTTGATTGAAGATAATCTGGAGATTATTACTATTTGTGACAGGAAAGAGCAAAGATTCAGATTAAAATCTACTCACCTGGACAGGTGGGGCAGCACTTTTTGGGGTGGATTTTTGGGTTCTTGCAGTGGATGACACACTGCACCTCCGCCTCAGTGATCACTCCTTCCTGTCACAACAAAAAGCAAAATAATTCTCTTTCTCATATAAAACTTTTTTCTTTTCTTTTTTTTTTGATTACCTATTATTGCCTTTTTTGATCATGATGTTATTGTTATTTTTGGTACCATTTTGCAATAAGGCTCCCCTTATAGATGCTAATAAACTCAGAGTCAGAGATTCTTTATTGTCATTCGCAAAAATACTTCAGATACATTATTAATTCCTCTATAAACCCTTTATAAACCATTAATAACTGCTTATTATGCATTAATTAAGGGCAAGAAAGAGACAAAACTGACCAGTTTCTTGCCAAATAGTGATCCAAATCTGTTTACCTCTATACTTCATCTAGAGTTGTTACAATAAACATTGCAGATTAGATTAGAGTCTAGATTAAATATATAGGTGGCAGGTTTGGATCATTATTTGGCAAGAAACTGGCCAGTTTTGTCTCTTTCTTGCCCGTGATTAATTGATCATAAGCAACAATTGATTTATAAAGCGTTTATAAAGGAATTAATAACATATCTATAAACTATTAGCCATCTATAAGGGGAGCATTATTCTAAAGTAGTACAGTTTTCTTTAATTCATCTAGATTTTCTCCATCTTTTTCTACAGCCACTTTATTTTTCTTTCTTTGTTGAAATCAGGTCTCTCTTGTAAATGAGTCCTCGAGGCTCAATGGGATTTACCTGTATAAATAAAGGTTGATTGATTATCTTCTTTTTTCCCATTCATGCTTTTCGTGCCTTATTTTCTTCTCACTTCAGTGGTTTTCTCTGACTTTGTCTCTATTTATAACATTTGAACCATCTTTCCATTACGTCACACTTGTTTTATCTTCTGCATCTGTCCTTCTTCTACAACAAAATTGTATTTTGTTTATTATATTCAAAGGCAATATTATTTTTTTCTGTTTTGTGGTCCGACCTTTAAAAACTAAAAATAATAATCTCACTTCCTGCGTGCTGGCAGCCAGGCTAGCTTTGCTTCAGATACACACCTGGCAGCGTCTGGTTGTGCAGGGTTTGGTGGACGTGGTCCAGGAGACTGAGCTGTTGTACGATCGTCCGTCTAACAAGCAGCCTAAAGGAGAGATGGAAATATAGACGCATAAGTTGAAGTATTTGCAGACAGAGGACTTTGAGAAAAGAAATTGTTCACAAACAAATTAAGGACGCCTTGTCTTTTGAGTCGTTTGTAAACTCATTCACAGTAAAAATGTAAACTGTAATCTAATGGAAGAAGTGGAGCTCCTGAGAAATGGCATTGTGTTTACAGCCTACTGGAACATATCGTGTTACATCTTGAAGACGAGACACAAATGATACGTGTTTTAGTTAAGATTCTGGTTGGAAGTGAGCCATACTGCACAATTAGGTATTGTTCTAATAAGTAAAAACAGGATCAGTATTGTTAATATTGTTATTAAATCAGATACTGAAACTTTTAAATAACTAAGATGGATGCGTCATCACGTTGTCAAATCCGAATGGATTTTTATAACGGCGTTTTAGTGGCTTTTATTTTCCTTTTAATTATTAATTAGTTAAAATCCTGGACAGAATTTGGGCCAAGTTTATAGGTAAAAAGAAAATACTTGTCTTTTAAGCAAATTCTTTTTTGGGATGTAAACCGTTCGGAGACTATAATACAATAAAATAAATCTCCTTCTTGTTTCATAGAAACTAAAACTTAAGTATTGATAATATTACATTGGTATTGATCAATATCGATGCTGGCATTGGTTTTATCAATATTTGGATCGATTCTCCAACGTCTAATTTGAATATAACAATATAAACTATAGTCATTCAAAACTGTACAGTGCACCAAACAAAACTGAACCAAGTTTCAATTCATTTCTCCACAGCAGTGCAGCAGTACATAATTGTTTTTAAAGTTTAAATTCATATAATATTCAATTTTAAAACTCCATTTTTAAATAAGGTACGCTTTTAGTAAGCAAGCTTTTCAAAATTACTCATTTGTTTTGTTTCTAGTTTTTAATTACTTTTTATACCTACGTACAATTATGTGCTGTTTTTAATGTGTGACAGAGATTTCTGAGTGTTACTCTTTATGAAAATATAAACTGGAAACCACATATCAATAATTTAAAGATAAAAATATGAAGGATACTTGCATTATTATATAAAGTAAAAGACTCATTAAATGATGAATTCATTCATCATTCTCTATTTGACCTATTGGGTAGAAGTTTGGGGGAATCCCTGTAAATCTTCTACAAATTCTATTTTTGTTCTGCAAAAAAGAGCCGTTAGAATTATAAGTGGAAAACGCTCCAGAGATCCAACAAATCCATTGTGCTGTAACTTAAAGTTAATGAAATGGCACGACTTGGTGGACAATTATATTCTGCGAGTAATGTTTAAAATACATGTTACCAATGCGTTTGCAAAAAAAGATTTATTAAAGGAGAGCATTTATAATTTGAGAGGATCAGATCAAGATTTTTTTTCTTCAAACTACTCCTTTTCATTCAGAACTTTTGTTTTATGTCAACATGTGACATTTATTTTAAACTGTGAATGAATGAAAGTGTGCGTGTATATATAGTTTTGTATTTTGTTGTGAAACACTTTATTTTATTTTCGGTGAACAGTGCTATTTAAAAAAACATACTAAACGGTCATTTATTGTGAAAAATCAAACAATAATGGTGAATGAAGTCGTCTTCAGGGCAGGACCGGTCCATTATCATCCTTTCTAGGCTCACACGCGTTACAGAGACACTGAAAATCTGTTCACAACACTTTTTTTACGACTGATTTTGTTTCCACCGCCTCTGAAAACAAAAGTGCATTTTGCACCAAACCATTACACCCAATAACTCCTGAGCTCTTCCTCTTTAGATCATGTGTTGTGTCTGAGCTGACAGACACAACACAGGTGTTTCCAGACGACACCAGCATCGTTCAGCACGGTCTCTCACCTGTTGATCGGATGTGAAAACACAAGTCGACTTGGGTTTTTAACGCTAATGTTCTTACCGGTAACTCTACAATGACCTGGATCAACACAGTTACATCGTCAGCAATTTATTTACTCAGACGTTAAGACTTTTCCACCACTGTGTCATTTAAAATCCCCTAAGAAAAGAACTGTTGTTAATCTAGAAGCAAAAAACTAATTTTTAAATATCTAGAAGACGTCGTCGTCTACAATGCTGCAGAAAGTAAAACGATCAGTACCAGGAATATTTATAAAAGTCTGAGCCCACCACTTTTCTAGCAAAGAGTGGCGGATGTTGTCCAACGCTTTAAAAGTGCAAGATTTTTCATTTAAAGTGAAGTTGTGTTCATTCGAACCCAGAAACACATTTGGATGCAGCAGCTGCTCAGTAAACCACAGCTGCTGAACGTCAACCACTAAACGCTAAATAAAGAGCCTTTTTATTTCATGCCATTTACAGTAAGCGGTCTCAGATCAATGTTTAACTTTCCATACGATGAAACCTGATCACGGCCATTGATCTACTTTCTTCTTTGTGAAACGAACCGTCTGGTGCTCTGTCCCGTGCACATTCAGTATTTTATTTTATTTATTTTACAACAAGATTCAAAGAGACTCGTTCTGTTCACGTACAATCACTAACACGGACAGACGCAAGGTGTCTAGATTTGATGTCTGATCTATATTTTCTTGGATCTGATTGATTTTTTATTTTTTTTTAATCAGTTTAGGAGTTTTCTTTGTGCTGTAAACAAAGATTAAAGACGTTTTTGAGTAGTTTAGACTAGTGGTGTCCAAACGTTTCGGCTTTGACTCAGAAAAAATATCAATGGCAAAAACGTGCAACCTCAAATATTTTACAAATATTGTTAAAAAAATTTAATGAACATTAGCTTCACTACTCATATTTTTATATCATACTCATATACTGTTGTTTTTAGCTTTTGTATCAGTTACAGTGAAAATACAATATTTGGAAATATATTCCAAATTTACATATTTGGAGTTTATCCTAAAAACCGCACCTCAGTGTTTCATGATCCAAGTTAAAGTTCAAGTTCAAGGTTCTTTATTGTCATTTGCATCACATGTGGTACATGAGGTGGAACAAAATTGTGTACTCAGGTCCCAGTTACATCCCAAAATAGCAAAAATGTAAAGTATAAAAAGAAACAGTATTCAAGATTTACACTAAACACTAATAATGTAAAATAATACGGTATATTAAACAGCAGCACGACCACAGTGGGGATTTTTTTTTTCTTTAAATCAGAGATGCTAAAAAATATTGTGCACCAGAAAGGGAGTACAGTAGTGTTTTATAGTTGACTCCAAAGCTAAGACACAACGAGACTTCTAAACTGACCACGAGTCAGCTGCACAGAAAATTGGCTAATGTGGTACTTTCTGGACTGAACATGTTCCGTCTTTTTTAACGAAGTGCCGCGCCGCTAAACTGCAAACAAAAAGTCTGTGGGAGCTGCAGGAGCGTGTATTTTTATTTTTACAAGTCGCATGGTTTTAACAGCTTAGACGCCCTGCAACAAAGAGTTGATTTTACGAAGGCTTTGGGTTTATTAAGACTTTAAATTAGAGTGAGAGATGCTAATATAGCCTTTAAAAAGCTGCTATACTTTACAATAATCCACAGTAAACAAAATGCAAACCTCAAATATTCACAGGTAATTTATCTGACAGGTCTAGAAAGACTTTAGATACAAGTTGACGAATGCTGAAACACATTTAGCCCAATTTTTGACATAGCAATATTGTAGGTAGCAGAATGTGTTTATGTATTAGGTAACACTTTACAATAAGGTGCACAAAAGTTGATTAACTACTAGAGAACACCTCAGGAACGAATCAGGAGCAAATGAGTTAATAGGTAGTTAACCAGTACTTACTGGGAAACACAGCCAAGCCTTATTAGGGAACTACTGCTTAGTTACTTGGGAAACGAAAAATAACTAATCAGGAACTAATGGGTAATTAACATGGAAACCAAAGAGGAATGAATCAGGAGCTAATGGGTAGTTAAGCAGTACTTACTGGGGAACACACAGCCAATCTTTATTAGGGGACTACTGGTTAGTTACCTTGTAAACAAAGATGAACTAATCAAGAACTAATGGGTAGTTACCAAAGAAAATAAAGAGGAATGAATCAGGAGCTAATGGGTAATAAAATCAGTAATCAGTAGGAAACAGGTTTTTGACAAGTATAAGCTGTGACCTCACTGGTGCAGGGTTTATTCAGAACCCACATGGGTAATTTTTCCTCTGTTTCTGTGGTAACAAACCAGTAGTCCCAGAATAAGGTTTGGCTGTGTGTTCCCCAGTAAGTACTGCTTACTGAGCCTGGTTCTGCTAAAGGTTTCTTCCTCATGAGGGAGTTTTTCCTTTCCACTGTCACCTTCATGCTTGCTCAAGATGAGAGTTCTGTGATGGAGTTAAATTCAAAGCAGTCTGCTCCTCAGATAAATAATGTTAAAGTATTATTTTTATATATGAATGTTTCTGTTCAGTGCCTTGCAAGCTTTAGTATTTATTTATTTATTAGTGAGTCAGATCGGTTCTTCTCATCCTGAACTTTTCATTGCACAGTTGACCTTGTGTTAACCTGCATATGACAAATAATAAACAACACAACCGTATTGAGGATCACTATAAGCTACTACCACACAAACTATGAGCTCAGTATCTGTAAAGTGATGGAAATACAGCCAGTAAAGTGTTATTTAGGGTGAATTAGCTCTGCTGGCCAACTTCAGGGTGGTTGACAGCAAGTTATTCAGTCGTAAATGTGTACTTTGTGTCATGTCTGTGCTTCAATGTGTTCTCCTTCTCATGATTTGTTGTATGTTGGTCCTGTTGTGGTTTTCCCTTGTGTTTTTATTCAGCCCTCTGTGCTCACTGTGTGAGTCCTCACACTCACCCTCAGTCAGCCTCACCAGTTCATTCAGTTATCACCAACACCTGTTTCTAATCAACAATCATTGCAGGCACTTTCATTTCGTTCTATTTAAACCACTCCTGATCATCATTTCTCTGTCGGCTCATAACGCCTGGCAACCCGCCAGATGTCCCGGTCTTTCCTGTATTCCTACAAGTCTCCTTGTCTTTTTCCACTTCCTGTTTTTTTTTAAGTTGCTGCTGCCATGTCAGCACTTTGCTTTCGTTTATTTAATAAATCAGTTTTTATTTTACTTCATGCTACCCGTGTCTGCCTGACCTGTATCACCGACCGTGATACTTTGGAAGTTTCATTACAATTTGTTCAGTGGTTCAGGAGATATTTTACTGACAGACAAACAAAAAACAACAACCACACACTCGTGCACACATAGTAGACAATAGTGGTGTAAAATAAAGTTAAAAAGTAAACTTTTGAAAAAGTAATAAACACCAACGGACAAAAAATGATGTAAATTATAATTAAATCAGTGTTCACAACTGGATGTATGGAATAGGACTAAGGCCACGGTGCAATAATTTCTTCCCTTTAATTCTGAGGAAATAGTCAGAATTATGAGACTAAAGTCATAAATCTGAGACAAAAGTCAGAAGTCTGAGATTAAAGTCAGAATTCTGAGATTAAAGTCAGAATTAGTCGCAATTTCAATTTCTATGTATGTCCTGTACATATGCAGAATTGACAATAAAAATCAATCAATCAATCAATCAATCAGAATTATGAGGGGGGAAAAAGTCAGATTTCTGAGATTAAATCAGAATTCTGGGATTAAAGTCAGAATTCTGACTTTTTTCTCAGATTTATGACTTTAATCTCAGAATTAAAGGGGGGAAAATTATTGCACCATGGCCCTAATCCTCTTGCGTATGGATGCCTGTTGTTTTTAACAGAGTTCTTACAGCAGTTAAAATGAATATATGAACAGAACAGACAAACATATATATTTTTATATGAGGGAAATGCAAAAGCACCTGGAAAGAAAGAGAATGCATCAGTAAATTTTAGATATGCAAGTTCCATGAGTCAGTAGGTGAGCATGTTGTTGTTCTTGCAGAGATTGGTACCTCAGATGTTTGAACAAATATGTGCTTCTTCATGATAAGGCCTGATGATATACTGAGGAGTTTCAGGCTCGTAAAAGAAACTGTATTTCTGTTGCTTGTAAACCGAACGGTGAACCCCTTCAGCAGCCAAACTGTCTCCACACACCGCTGCTGTGTGTGTGTTTGTGTGTGTGTGTGTGTGTGTGAGGTAAATAATGTAGATTTACTCCCACAGGTTGTAGTTAGGGTCTGGCTGTTTGGACACAATGCAATAAAGGAGTCCCTCAAGGCTTCGTGAGTGTGTGCACGCTTAAAGACTCTGATTAACATCTTTATGTTTTGCTGTTGTAACAGTCCACCGTGCAGCTGCAGATACCACAGCCCTGCAGTACGGCTTCGAAGGCTGGTTTTTATCATTGTCACTCTTTATGTACTGTAAAATCACGCTAACGCAGGTATCATCTGACTCTGTCAATATGTCCGCCTGTGTGTCTCACCTTTACACCTCTCACAGCAGGCTCCAGTCTGTTTCACCACCAGGTCGCAGTCATCGGGGACCTGAGGACATTTTTCCTGTTTACAGTCTGCCTTCCCGCTCTGCAGGAGAACAAAAGAAAAAGATCTCAGTGATATCATTTAAAAACAGACATGGTTTGTCTGACTTTTTATTTAAACACAATTTTCCTTTTACTGGCATTTGTAGTCATTTCCCTTTGGACATTTATCTGTGATAATTTCTAAAGTTGCTGGAGCAGAAAACTGGGAATGAGTTATAGATTATTAATACAATACTACAGATGAATAATGAAAAAAAAAGCATCAAAATCAGTGTAACTGTTAGTTTTACAGTTGTAAAATACTTGTTCAATTAAAAATAAAAGGTTTAGAAGGAGAAAAAGCCTTACTGAATCGGCACAATTTTTTTTTTTTCCAAAAAGAGTGTTGAAAAGCTGAAGGACTTGAACTTTTCATAAACACCAGAAGTGATTTTTCTATTTAATCCACCTCAAACAGAAGCAACTCTGCAGTCTTTATCTGAGCAAAGCAAAGATCTACATTAGATATTTTTATATGAACAACCTATTAAAGAAACTATCATATTATGTCTACCTTGAAAATCCTTTTTCACTTTTCACAGCCTGACGTCGTACATTACTCTTTGCTCTCCAGGTAACATTCAAAGTTTTCTACAGACGAAAAGGATGGGGGATTAAAGTTTAAAGGAACTAAGATGAACGTTTCTTTGGTAAAACTGCATTAGGTTTATTAACAATTACATCTTTAACAACCTGCAGTATAAAACTTGTGGTGTATTCATTCAACCTTTATTTCTACATGTTAGTCCCATTGAGTCACGAGGACTCGTTCACAAGAGAGACCTGATTTAAAGAAAGAACATAGATGAGCTACAGACAACAATAGACAATCATATAAAAAGCATTTCAAATGCAAAAGTAAACAAAATAAATTATATAAAAACTAAGAGAAAAAAAACAGCTACATTTTAAAGCGATGTAAAATGCTAAAAACAGGAACAAGTCTGCGTTGTTTTTTTTATATGAACTTAACAGATGTTTAAAATCCCTTAGAGAGGTCAAGTTTGAGAGCTTCAGATCTTTTTGTAAGATATTCTAGAAAACAGGAGCGGAGTAGGAGAAGGCCCTTTTACCAAGTTCAGTCCTCACTCAGGGAACACTGCAGGTAATAATGTCCTGAGAGCGCACGCTGTAGCTGCACTCACACAGTGACGTGTAGGAGGAGATGTATGAAGGCAGCAGACCAAGAAGTGATTTAAAGATGAAAATGTACCAGTGAGAGTATGTGAAGTTAATGTTGACCAGTTAACCAGTGAATACTGGGTGCAGTGGTGGGTACGGTAGTTACAACCAGTTATGAATCTTAGTGCACCATGATAGACAGCATCCAACATCTGCAGGGTGCTTGTAGGAGCGTTCATGTAAATAATGTCACCGTAATCAATGGAGGGAAGGAAAGTCACAGTTACAAGATGTTTCCTAGAGCTCAGAGTTAAACAGGATCTATCTCTGAAAAGGAAACACAGTTCAACTTTCAGTTTCTTTACCAAGTTTTCCACATGGAGCTTAAAAAAGATGTGAATCGATAAAGATACCCAAATATTTAGTATCAAGCTCATGCATGTGTCAGCAACACAAATTAATGTTTTAGTTTATATTTAATCACTTAAAAAGGTAAAAATGATCAGTTTTTATGTCTTTAAAACGGAGACAAAATGTATTTAGTTACAGTATATAATCAATTCTATAAGAAACAAAGCAGTGATTGGTGTTAAATAAAAGTAGTTTAACGAGAAGTTGACTTTTTTATATATATGCTTCACCTCGGTTCATTCCTGTTTTCTAAAACACAAACCAATCAAACCAAATCAAGTTGCTGTGATTGTTGGACAGGTTCGGAAACAAAAAAAACATTATTTGTATATGTGGTGGTGCATGATGCAAATACTGTATCGGTCAAAATACTACAAATTATCTAATACTGTTGTGTTTTTAAATGCAGAACTTTAGAGATCTACTTTCACCGTTTTAAAGTTTGCACCGCGAGAAATAAAAAGTGACTCAGTTTCACAGCTGTGACTTTTCACACCAAGTCAAACGAACCGCTCGTCACTTTCAGAAACACTGCACACAGTGTCTGTCACCGCTGCGAACGGCACCGTGGGACTGGACGGAGTCTGCCTCGTTTAATTCGCCCGGCTTTCACACCCAGCCTTTATTGGTGATTTTATCCCCACTCCGAGTGCGTTTTATTTTACAAACTGTGAAGGTTTATAAAGTTGGAGGCTGGCAGGTCCTGTGGCCCTGCGGCAGGAGGCTCTAACAAGGACAGATCAAACGAGAGTGAAAATGAATCTGGGTGGTTTAATATAGCAGCAGCAGCAGCTCCAACTAAACCCCCAACCACACCGAGGTCAGATGATGTCACAACAGAAAAAGGGAAGAGACGAATCGAGATGGAAAGAAGGGACAGATGAAGTGTAATAGTGTGATGACAGGAAGAAAAGGAAAAAATAGAAGAATAAAGCCAGAGATGATGATCCATCACTCCAAACACTACTCGCACTTTAAAACAGTTTGTCATTTAACACACGGCATGCTGGGAAACCATCCAGAGCGTGAAAAACTTTATAAACCTAAAAAAGATTCTAGTGACGAATTTTTTATTTTATTTTATTTGTTCACAATAATATTTTTGTCTTTGTCTGTGCACGTGTCTGACAGTTACCAAAATACAGTATCTCGACTTGAAGCAAAGGAAATATTTTTATAAAACTAGAGAAATTGCATTTTCTGCTAAAATTCAGTGAGAACGCTTACTGCAGAATAACTTGTTGAGAACCAGCTGAAATTAGCTTAAAAAAAAACATGTTGAAATGTAGCTGAAATGGAAGAACAAGCCTAAATTAGCAGAAGAAAGCACAAAGAACACATACTTGGTGAAATAGGTTTAAACAAGCAGAAAGTAGAGCAAAAAATAGGAAATTAGCTTAAAAAAGGAAGAAGCTGAAATAAGCAAAAAAAATGTCTGCATAGTAGTTGAAATGTAGAAAGCAGCTTAAACTACCAGAAGGAAGCAGAAAGCGCTGAAATGAGCTAAAAATGTGGACTTAGCTGACAAGCTAAAATTAGTGTAAAAACAGCTTAATAGAAACTAAAATAGCAAAAAAAAGTTGAATCAATCAACCTTTATTTATACAGGTAAATCCCATTGAGCCTCGAGGACTCATTTACAAGAGAGACCTGATTTCAACAAAGAAAGATGACAACAATGGACAACAGCAACAACAATAAACAGTTATAAACAAACATACTACAGTTTTTTTTTTTTTTTTTAAACAAATAGGATGGCTAAAAGGAAAAGGTAGCAAAACAAACAAAAAAAAAAAACAGCTAGATTCCAAGACAAATGTAGAAAACTAACAAACTAAAAACTGTTTAGCTGATTCATGCTAATTTTAACTTTATCTGCTAATTCCAAATTTATTTCACAAATTTCAACATTTTTCTGCATAACTCGGCAAAATTGTGCTCTTTCCACTTCATTAGTGGAAGTGGAAAGACTAGTGAAACTAGCCTAATTAAGCTGAAAGGAATTGTCAAGCTGTTTAGCTGTTTTTGTTACATTTTTGCCATCCTATTTGTAAAAAAAATAAATAAATCTGTATGCCTTTTTATATTTGTCTATTGTTGTCGCTGTTGTCCATCGTTGTCATCTTTCTTTGTTGAAATCAGGTCTCTCTTGTAAATGAGTCCTCGAGGCTCAATGGGATTTACGTGTCTAAAAAAAAGTTGAAATTACCAGAAACAAGTTAATTGAGCTGAAAGTAGCAGAAATGACCACAAACAGCGTGAATTTATCTGAAAACAGCCGAATTCAGCTGGAAAATGCTATAAAAAAAAGTAGCTGAACAGGTCAAGCAAGCTTAAATTAGCACAAGAAAGCAGAAAGAACACGTGTTTGCACAATTAGGCTGAAAGAAGCAGAAATGAGCACAAAATGTGGAAATTATTTGGAAAAAAGATGAAATTAGCAACAACAACAAAAATAGATCAGCTGAAAAGTAGCTAAAAAAAGCAGAAAGAAGTTTGTTACCAGAATGAAGTGGAAAGAGCACAATTTTGCTGAGTTATGCAGAAAAATGTTGAAATTTGTGAAATAAATTTGGAATTAGCAGATAAAGTTAAAATTAGCATGAATCAGCTAAACAGTAGCTGAAAGAGTGGAAAAAGCTGAAACTTGCAGAAATAAGCTGAAAGGAGCACAACAAGCTGAAATTAGCAGAAAGAAGTTAGAAGAAGCACAATGATGTCGCAGTTAGCAGAAATAATGTGAAAGGACAAAACAGCTGAAAAAAACAGCTGAAATTAGCTGAAAGTAGCTGGAAAAAAAGTTTACATTTGCACAAAGAAGCTGAAGCAGAACCAAATGTGAAAGGAGCAGTAAAAGGTTGTAAACAGTTCTAAAGATTTGAAGGATTTAAAATAAGTTCATTTTCTATGAGTAAAAAATGGCAGAAAAGGCTAAATGTTTCAAAATGCTAAAGTTGCACTAACACCAAAAGTTAGAGCAGGACTGTCCTGAAAGAGCTGAATGTTTTTGATTTATGATTTGTTGAAATAACAAAATCTGTGGAACGAGAATAATGACGAAAAACATACGGAAGAAAAATGGATCGCAGTGTGAATGCTTCATAAACATTCACACATTTAACAGAAAGTAATTCTTGTACAAACATTTAGCTACAACAGATTTAACTTTCTAACATAACTTGATTTAAAACACAACAATGGTTAGAACAGCTCAGTAAAGTTTACAGATACTGACCTGAAACATGATGCGTTGATGACTCAGTCAGGTACAACACGTACTCTGAGTGTGACTTCACGTAATATCACATGGAAGTGCGCACAATGGGATTTTCAAAGGTTGAACATTCGTTTAAAGACGGATTGTCCTCTAATTAAAGTTTGTAAATGAAGAAGCTTTAGGCAGTTTTTATGAGCTATTGAACATTATTAGATGCGTCAAATGATTTTATCGAACAAGAAGAAAACAAG